AAAATTCATCAGGCTATAAAAAAAAAGAGAGAGACTGCTATGGATTGAATGTGTGTGTTTCCTCAAAATTCATGTCAGAACTCTCCCCACCAGTGTGACAATATTAGGAGATGGAGCCTCTGGGAGATGATTAGGATCAGATGACATCATGGGGGGGCCCTCACAGGTGGGATTGGTGCCCTTGCTCCTGTGTGTCTTTCCCACCACTAGTGAGGACACAGCAAGAACACAGCCATCTAGGAATTAGGAATCTGACTCTCATGAGACACCAAATCTGCTGGCACCCTGAGCGTGGACTTTCCCACCTCTAGAACTGTGAGAAATGTTTAGGGCACCCAGTCTATGGAATTTTTGTTATAGCAGCCTGAACAGACTAATACAGACTATTTGAAATAAAAATACAGAAGCAGAACAAACATCTGTTGAGCACTGAGAATGAGATAAAATCCTCAGCAAATGAAACTGATGAATATTTTTTCATTCCAAAAATGAAACCATACTCCCTACTGTCTATAAACTACATGCCTAAAACAGAGACTTAGAACAATTAGAAGGGCCAAGAAAACTTATGGAACAATTAAATAATAAAGTAGCTAAGTGAAAAAAAATCAAGTTTCTAGAATTCTAATTAGGGACTTAAAACTGGAGAGAAAACCTGTTTTAGAGTTAACATACACCTTCTAGGATGGAAAGAGAAAACATTTACAAAGATGGCAATTTTCCCTAAATCTATAAATCATTACAATTATAATGAAAATAATGTGATTTGTGGGAATTTGGGTAAAATATTACCAAAATTAAAAAGAAAAAACATAGGACTACAGAGAAATTCTTAAAAATAAAATAGTAGGAAAGTACTAAATTTTTAGTACTAATTTTTTTTAGTGAGATACTAAAATTTTTTAGTAAAGTTGCGATAAATAAACCAGTATGATTTCAGCACAGGAATATACAGGTATGTGGATGTGAATAGAGTCCATAAATTGTCATCAATGTGTATGGAAATTTAGCATCTTGTATGGGTGGCATAGCAAAATCAGGGAGAAAAGATGGAATATTCAAGAAAGTTGGACAATTGCATAGACATTTGGGAAGAAAAACTGAATAAAACACTTCTTACAGAAGCATATTTTTAAAAAACACTAAAAGCTCTAGGAGATTATCATCTTGGAGTGGGAAAAGCATTTCTATTTTTTAAAAATATTTTAAAAGTATAACAGTAGAGCGTGCCTTTTAGAATAAATTCAAACAACACAAACGTATAAATCCCAAAGTGTAAGCATTCTTCCCAACCCTCTCCCCTACACACACTCCCACTGCCTAGAGGTAAGCACAGTGAAGAATTTGGTGGGTAGGAAAAGGCATTTTACAGCATGACCTGAGACCCAGGGATCTTCAGCAGAAAAGACTGATTCACAGGACAATACCAACATTTAATATCTCCATATTAAAATAAAAGGTAAAAACAAAATCAAAACAGATGGCAAACTGGGAAAAATTGGGACTCAAATGATAAGGAACTAATACTCCTATGCAACAATTCTACAAACCAGAAAGATTAACTCACAGGAGTTTATTCAGAGCTATATATGAAAAGCTCTTCAATTCACTTATAACACATGAGCAACAATATGGGTATCTTTCCCCCCAATCAGAATAGCAAAGATAATAAGAATTTAAAACAACATAATTTTCTGTACCAATATTAAAAATAATTCTGGGAGCTGCATATTTTTTTATCCCTATGTTAAATGATACTGAGAACAAGTAAAACTGATGTAGCTATGTACCAGAAAATGCTCTACTCCTGCAAGTTTACAGTGCAAAACAAATGTGCTCATCAGAACTAACCACCGCTCATCAAGGCTGGCATCAAGGCCTATGCTTTGCTGCGCCTGCCAATCTGAAGCGATTATGTCATCAACTCTAAGTGCCCCAACAAATTTCCCATCTTGCAAGACCTCATTAAAAATCATCTAACCAAGGTTGTTCCTTCCCTGGATACTTTCTCTCTGCCCTAGAAGTAGCCCGTACATTTGCTATTCCTATATTCATTAGAGTTCCCTTTTACTCTTTTTTGTTAGTCATCCTTTACTACTTAATAATTTTTATAATAAATTTATTCAAATTACTATTGTGGTTTGAACTCCTGACTGGACCCAGATTTATGTGCCTACCGACCATGCATGTGAGGGCCTGTATTCATGTGACATTATGCCCTAACAAATTACCACTCATGTAGTGACTTAAAACAATACCAATGTGTTACCTTACAGATCTGTAGGTCAGGAGTCCAGCTTGGGTCTCACTAGACTAATCAAGGTGTCCTCAGGCTACATTCCTTTCTGGGGGCTTTAGGCAAGAATCTACTTCCTGTTCACTGGATTGTTGGCAGAAACCAGCTCCTTGTGTTATAGTACTGAGATCCCCATTGCCTTGCTGGTATCAAATGAAAACCATTCCCAGGTTCCAGAGACTACCACATTCCTTGGCTTGTGGCCCCCTTCACCCACCTGCAAAGCCAGCAGTGGGGCTGAGCCCTTCTCTCTTATTCCGTCTTATCTTCTTAACTCAGCTAGGAAACGCTCCCCATTTTAATGACTCCCCATTTTAATGATTGGGCCCAGCCAATTAATCCAGGATAATCTCCCCATCTCTTAATCATATCTGTAAATCTCCCTTGCCACATGAGGTAACACTGCACAGATTCCTGGAATTAGGGAGTGGACATCTTTGGGGGAAACATTATTCTGCATGCCACAAGGTCTCTTTCTCAAAACCTTCAAAAACATTCGTTGTTATTAATCTTCCCAGTCATCCACTCATCTCTCTAAAAGACCGCTAGGAAAGTTTGTTGATCAAATGAAGTTGTTATTGGACACAGTACAATAAAGGGTCAACAAATTGTATATTTTCATATTAAAATTGAACTTATCTACCCATCTCAAAACCACCTTTTATTCTAGTGTTTCCAATATTCGTCCATTGCCCAAGTCAGAAATTTTCTTATCTCCATAATCTGTACTCTTTTCTCCTTCCCCACTGCTGCTACCTTCGTGCAGGTGAAGTGCGTCAGCAGCTTCCCGCCCCCAAAGGCCTCCCTATCTCCAGATTTGTTTTCCTGGAGTTTATTCACATTGCAAACTGAGGGCTTGTATTAGTTAGCTCAGGCTACTATAACAAAATACCACAGTCTGGGTGGTTTAACTAGCAGAACTTTGCTCCTCGGAGTTCTTGAGGCTGGGAGTTTGAGGTGCCCGCATGGCTGGTCTCAGTGAGAACTCTTCTCCTGATCTGTAGACTGCCTTCTTGCTGAGCCCTCACACGGTGGGGAGAGGGAGCCAGAGCAAGCTCTCCAGGGTCTCTCCTCATACGGGCCCCACACGAGGGCCCCACCCACACCACTTACCCCAACCCTAATTACCTCCCAAAGGCCTCATCTCCAAATTAGGCGCTAGGGTTTCAAGATAGAAATTTGGGGGAGGGAAACACTTTAGTCCACATCAGAGCTTTTTCCCAAAAAAATAAATACCTTGCCTAAAATCTTCCTATGGTTCCCCTCTGCTTTTTGGATACAGTCTGATTAGCTTGGCCTTCCAGATCCTGCATCACCCACCTCTACTTACCTTCCCTACCCTGTCTTATGCCACTCCCTCACACTGACCTCCTCTGGTTCCCAGGATGCACTGCATTCCTTACCTCTGAATCTCTGCTTTTGTTGTTCTCCTTTGCCTATTTTGGCTGGATCAACTCTTCTGCCCCTCCAGGAAGACCTCTCTCCCACAGCTTCGGCCGCTCCAGGTGTAGGTGTGGTGCTCCAAGGTACCCCATCACACCACACATTTCCACTTAGCTCACTGCCTGTTATTTCTCTGTCCTTCCTATTAAACAGTAAATTTCAAGACAGAGGTGTGCATATAATACAGGTTTGTGTATGTTTGGATAGATGAATAAATGTGTTACATTTGAGGTGACTGCTGGGCATCCAGATGAAGCCATCTAGTAGATAGCTTTGTGGATATGGAGTTCAGGATAGGGGTCTGGACTGGAGAAAAGCCAAGTTCAGACAAGCACGTACTAGCAGCTTTCTCCTTAAAAAGTCACACTTTGTAAAGCCTGAGGGCTGTCAAGAGCGCTGTGCCAGACCCTAATTTCAGAGGTTATTTATCTCTATCCTTTGGGACCATCTTTCCTACCACATCCTAATCCCAGCCCCTTGGTATTCACAGACCTGAATTTATTAACAATGAGCTGTTGCCCTGCTACTACTTTACTGTAACATTATCCGTTAAGTAATTACTTCATTTTACAGGAGCAGAAATAGAAGCATGAGGATTGTCCTCCATCATAATTCTCGAGGATTATAATCAGGGTAATGGATGCGACGGATTGGCTCAGTCCAGCCTCCTTCTGGAACTGCACTAATCCGTACCCTAACTACTAGCCACAAGTGCCTATTAAAAATTGAATTCAAATAATTAAAATTAAATAAAATTTAAAATTTAGTTCCTCAGCTGACTAGCTACATTTCAAGTGTTTAATTGCCACACATGGCTAGAAGCTACTCTACTGGACAGTGAAGACAAAGAATATTTCCCTCATCACAGAGAGATCGAGGACAATGTAAATCTAGAGTGCCTTCCTGCATGGCAGAGGTTAGAAAGCTAAAACTGAAGCTCCTACTCTCCTTTGCAGGTTCTGGATGCAAATATTGTTTACCAATTAATTTAATTCAATATGCTTGTATGAGTTTGGTGAGGCAAAAATAAGGA